GAGATGAAAATGGACCTGCCACCAAATGTCTCGCAAGCTCTGCGTCAAGATAAAGGGCCAAATCACATGGATAATTGGTAGCGCCAGAGTGATTGCGTAATTGACTGACTGGAAAACCAAACTGTTCGTAATCATAACCCACTAGTCAGCCGAACTCAAGATAGTCAATGATAACATTGTCGTGATAATCACTTAGATAAGACCTCCACTGCAGAATGATAAGCTTTGAAACTAATGGTATCCGTAATCCTCTGTAATTAGGTAGACCAGAAGCAAAAACACCCTCGTGAAGCGCAACCATGTCGACACTAAATTCCTGAATATTATAGCAAGCACCAGTGTCCTGTGAAAGTCTTGAATAAACGGAACAGAAGTAGTGTTTTCTAGTCACTCTTTTGGTTTGCTTGGGCAGTCATCGGAATATTCGGAATGCATCTGTTTGGTCTTGTCCTTCACCCAACAAGCCGCACAAATATGACAAAGCCATTTCTTTTCTTCTTTAAGCATGGCGTAATGATCCTTAGAGTGGGAGCACGAACCCCTCTGGTACTCAGGGCAAAACAATACTGCAGTTGAAGTGGAGGGCGCGGGGCGCTTCTGGTCTTTTAAGTTCTTGTGTGAACCTGCGAGCGTACGGTTTTCCAAATGAGGAAAAGAATCCCCCCAGTTAAGTCGACCTCTCTCAATTTCTAATAAAACTGCTGCATGGAAACTACGGACGGCTGGCCATTCGTAAACGGACACGAGATACATCAAAGCGCCCAAGTGTTCCGTGCAATGTTGTCGTTCATGAGAAGATACTTGTGGCAACAGTAAGATAGCACTGTACCCGGCGACAAATTCCTCTAATGTAAGCTCATTGTAACTAATGTTCTTAGAGACATAACCCATGCTCAACTCGCTATGCCGCCAGAGTTGCCGCCGTACTACACGACTAGCAATTTTAGCCATTTCACCCGATTTCAAGTTCCACTTACCTCGTTTCTTTCGTGATTGTCGCTCTGCTGATGAGGACTCATCATCGCTTTCTTCACTTGACATAGATTCATCTGCCGCGGCTGCAGATGCGGAGGAAGCAAGATCCATTTTGCTGAGGCGTTTCTTGACGGCTTGGGATAAATCCTCAAACTCACGAAGGTCTCGGGAAGAAACTTCTTTATGCTTATTTTTTCTTGGCACCGCCTTACTCCCAGTCTTGCCAGAACCTGCGTCCTGATTGAGCTTGCACTGCTCTGCCAAGGTTTCCTTTTGTAGCTCCTTCAGCTTCTTTTTCAGAGAGATCAGCTTTGTTTTCTGCCAAGCTTCTTTCAACTTAGTCTTTTCCTGAGCTATCAAGGCTTCTAGGTCTTCGGCAGTCGCATCTGGAAACTCCTCGTTGTCCTGTTCGGAGAGCACATGTGACTCCTCAGTGTTGCGCTCGGATTCACTATGATTCGCTCTAGCACTCATGACTTTACCGGGGAGTCCGTGTAGGGTCCTGTAATTTACACGTGTTAACTGTGGCCGTAAGCTGTACATAAAAGATTTAAGAAAATTACTCTTGGAATCAAACTATGTGACTAAACCGATGAACAATACCAACTAAGGTACTCTCTCTCTCGTAACACACTACATATACAATGTCCGTTAATAAGTAACCATTAATACGAATTATGTAATAAACACGCCTAACTCAAATTAATTATTTTAAGCTGGGCTAAAAATATAACAGTTATACACGGTAAAAATTCATCAGGTACAATAAATTCCCATAAAATGTCTAAGATCCTAAACCTAAAATTCTGATCCTAAAATTATATTAACTAACAACAATATTCTACTTATAAAGCTGATTTCCATGAATGCCATGTGTTTAGAAATTATGATGGAGAAAACATTTATAAAATTGATTTAATGAGTCAAACTCTCTAATGTTACAGGGTAAGCTGTTCCAAAGGGTTGCGCTGTCACAGTGATTTGGGTATCCCCGTGTTTTGGGTACCTCCGTACCCAAATCCCGAGTGCTTTGGGTATCCCCAGTAGGGATACCCGAAACACTGGAAGCATTAAATACCGCAGACTGAGGCAATCCATCCATAATTCTGCTGAAAAACCATTCACCTTCTTATGAAGCTTTGTCTCAATAAATTGAAACTTTCTTAATCTTGATATAAACACATAAAGTTGGTGAAAATAGTCCAAATTTATAACAGACTGTCTGATCCGAGTCCGCAGTAATATAACGACATACAAAACACATTCACGCACCAAAGTTCCTGTGGATAGAGTAAAATTAATATGTGAGCGAAAACACCGAGATACGGCCGTCACGCAATACGCAGGTCTCAAGCTGTGACTGACCACTGTATACGGTTGCCTGTCTGAAATAAACTTTGTCTTAGACTTATTTCTTTGTCACTCTTTCCTTGACCATCCCTCCATCACCGCACTATCTGAGGTTTAAAAAGCGCCTTTCTCATTTGAAATAACATGCATTTCAAGGGTTATCAAGAGGCGACAAGCGCATGTTTATAGAAAGATCTTTGGTGAGTGAATGTCATTGTAACTGCGGACTCGGATCAGCCGACAGTCTGTTAGGAATTGCGACTATTTTCAGAGACGTATTGTGTTTATATCAAGCAAAAGAATGCTTCAATTTATTGAGACAAAGCTTCGTAAGAAGATAAATGGGTTTTGAGCAGAATTGTGGATGATTTCACTTACCCTAGTTTTATGCTTTCAGTGTTTTGGGTACCCAAAACACTAGGGATTTGGGTACTGAGGTACCCAAAACACGGGGATACCCAAATCACTGTGACAGCGCCGCTGTAACTAAAACTATTTTTCATGTA